TCTTTTCCATTCTTAATGCCACTACCTTAGTTTAGGCCACCATCCTCTCTTGGATTATGAAATAGCCTGTCTGGGCTCATCAGCAATGCAAGAATTCTTCACATGCAGCCAGAATGCTATTTCTAAAGTAGGTATCTGATCATGTCATCTGCTTAAAACCTTTTAATACATTTTTCCAGTGTCCTGAAGACAAGTCCTACTTCCTGTGCATTGCCTCCAGACCTTACATGACTGCTCTTTCTCCAGCACTATGGGGTCAATATTCTTATTGTACTCTGTGCTTCAGCCAAAGTGAACCACTTCCAAATCCCTTGTCACAGCTCTGGACCTCTGTACATGCTGTTCTCTCTGCCTGGAGAAACCTTTCCCCACTTCCTCCTACTTGTTTGTCCATCAGGTCATTTCCCTCAAGACAATTTCCCTAAGCCCTGCCTCCAAACCCCCAAGTATGTAAGAGATGTTCCTCTTTTGTACTTCTACATTAGTCTATAACCAAAAATCCCAAACCTGTTGCTGTCAAGTCAGTTCCAACTCAGCAACCCTACAGGACAGGCTGTAATCTTTAGGAAAGCAGACTGCCACATCCTTCTCCTGTGGAGTGGCTGATGGATTAGAACCATTGACCTTTTGATTAGCAGCCAAGCACTTAACCACTGTGCTGGGGATTATTTATTATACTGCATAGTGATCATCAGGTTACTTAAGTGTCTCTCCCTTGCATGATTTCCTTAGAGTAGAACTTTATCTTATATATACAGTATACCCACACTAGTACAGTTTTTTTTTTTTTATATACAACAGGCATTTACTAGTTTCTCTGCTGGTTTGTTTTCAATTAAATGAATCCCAGCTCTACACTTAATAATAGAACCAACAGGCAAGTTACCTAACTCATTAGGCACATCAATCTGTTCACCTGTAGAACTGGAATCATATACTATTACTTATTTACTTCACAAATTGGTTTTAAAAATCAAATGAAATGCAATACTGTATGTATTCTGCAAACTGTAAAGGACTATACAATGTTGGCTGTGATAATCCTTTTATAAATGAAGAAACAGGGTCTCAGAGAAATTATTTGCTCGTTTGTAACTTCATTACTAAATAACAAAGGTAGGACTTAACTCAAGTCATCTGACTCTTAGTGTTGGGCTTTTTACCAGGTTCCACCTCATGCTGATTTACTATTTCAAGTATGAAGGGGAGGGGAGGGAATAAGCTATACCTTTTTAGTTCTAACAACAAAAACCACCAATTTGAGAGTAAGGAGGAAAAAAAAAAAAAAAACAGCTTGGCAAGAAAATGGGAAAATAGGAAATACCATCATCTAATGCTTATATTGTGCTTGTTGTTGTTGTTGTTATGTGCCATCGAGTCAGCCCTGATTCATAGCAACCCCTCCTTGGGTTTCTGAGGCAGTATCACTACGGAAGTAGGATTGCCCAACCTTCCTTCCGAGGAGTGGCTGGTGGGTTTGAACCGCCAGCCTTCTGGTTAGCAGTCAAGTGCCTTAGGCACTATGCTACCAGAGCTCCCACTGTTCTATATGCTTTACAGTATTAACTCAATGTTTACAACTATTCCATTATATTATCTACGTTTTATAGAATTCTTTTGTTTTGTTTTATAGAATTCTTACATTTATAAAATTTTAAAATTAGTTTCATTTTTCAAGAGAAAAAGCCTAGTCACAGTTTTACTCTTAAAAACAGTAACTGTCCTGGAAACTGCTCTTTTCCAAGTAGCTTATAGTGTTCAAGGATGATAATATGCATTTTCCTGGTTTTCTGCCCTACCCCTAAACTCCTCTTACTCTGTGCTGAGTTTTCAATTGAGTCCCCACCAGTCTCTTACCTTCTGCCTCCAGAAGGACATCACAGAACACACCACTTTGCTGCTGGTGATGAAGCTGCAAAAAAACTAATCGAAGGAATTGAGGGTTCCTGTATAAGATTGTGGAGCTGGCAGCAGAGCACATGTTGGTAGTCTCCTAAACAAACTTAAGTTTTCACAGATCAGATACCTGTGGGTGAGATAATACATTTCAGAGGGATGATTATATCTACTTTGCTCTTTGTCTTTGAAATGGAAGGGAAATATTGGAAGTGAGAGACAGCAGCTTGAGTTGAGAAAATATCAGCTCAGAAGTTGTGCCGAGGGTATCTTAAGAAAGCAGAATATCATCATAGTAGTTACATATGGGAGCTCAGAGATAAGGCTAGGTTTGAATCTTGGTTCTGCTATTCATTAGCCTAGCTGTATAATCTAAGGGAGCTCTGGTGGCGTAGTGATCTAAAGCAAATTATTTAACTTCTTTGAGTCTCATTATTTTTCATCTATGGGAATGATAACAGTACAGGAATTTTAATAATGTTACTTATAATGATAATAATAAGTACTTACAAAGTTGTTTTCAGGATAAAATGAGCTAACGTATGTAAAATTAACTGCTTAGCACAGTGCATGCCTGGCACATAATTATCACCCAAAAAAGAAATGGTAGCCATTACTATTCTCATTCACATTCCCATTGAAACTCAACTCCCACCATGATGACTGCTCATGTTTCCTGAGCACCACTTTCCAAGTCCATGGGTATAATCCTTAGTTTTACACTTAAAAAATCCCAATACTGAGTATAAAATTAGCTCTAGTAACTCCCATACACCTTTTCTCCTAACTCAATCACACTAACCAGCAGAGGGTGCACAATAAAGAAGTGAAGCTGCTGGACTAAGTGGGAAGGTGTCCACAGAAATAAGGACATTGGTCACTCTTGGTTCAGATATTCCTGAATAAAGGGTGCCTCTGTGACCCTGGAAACTGGCAAAGATATGCAGCTTTTAGGTTTGCCAGTCTGGCTAATTACCTGGATAACAATAGAGCAAGGATAATTACGCACTCTACCCTTCCCAAAGCAAAGTGGATACCCTGACTTCAGGCTTAGGACATTTCCAGTTTGTTTTGCACTGAAACCCCCACACTCACTGCACAGATGTGTTCCTTTCCTGGCATGCAGTTTTCTGTCAGGTGGCACCAAGAATACGAATAATTCAGGTCAAAACTATCAGGAAAGAAAAGAATGAGAACGTAAATTATGGAAAGGCAACCTCCATTCTGATCAAACACACAGTGATGTGGGTGGAGGATGGCAGTTATTGCAAGGGCCCAAACTTAGGCCCTGAGGACGCTTCCCAGCCCACTGGCTCCTGACCTTGCCCCTAGACCCAACCTGGAATTGCTTTGCAATAGATGTTGCTTCTATCGCCCTCTCAGTGCTAAGTTCCCTAGCCAGCCTGCCTGGCTTCCTCCCGAAGTCCAACCTCGCGCATGAAGGTTTAGCAAAGCAGCACAGGTGGGCCAACGGCCTGAGCCGTTCCCCTCACCCTCCAGAACCACGGGAAAAGGGGTTGAAGGAGAAAAAGGGGTTCGAGTGGGCCCTGCAAAGCTGGGTGCCTGGTCAGTCCTGGCGCCCGGCCCAACTCCTCTGAAGAGAGCTCTCGGCGTGAAGGTTTCTGGGAATGGAGCCTGGGTGATTCACAGGCCTGAATTCAGGGTTCGCCCTCACCGCCACCTCCTGGCCGCACGGGGTTTGCAGCCCCACCGTGGCACGCTCCTACCGTCCCAGCACCCACATGCACCGGATGGTGGTGACTGCGAAAGCCTGAGGCTATGCAGCCAGTGTCACAGGCCACGCGCCTCCACTCCTTCCTCACGCAGAGAGCGTCGCAAGGCCCGATGTCCTTCCTCCTCCCCCCAGCCCCCTGGGTCAAAGTCACTAGAGTACTTCATTCCCATTGGCTGTGGGCACCTTGGCGAGCCAATCAGAGAGATTGGAGAGCTTTGGGCGGGAGGCTAAGTCTCGAGGGACTTGCGCGAGGCACAGGCTCGAGATAGTTGGGCTGTGAGATGCAGTAGGAAGGTCTGGCGGAGAGGAATCCTGCTGAAAGCTGTCTTCTTTTCCCTTGGCACTTGGAGATACACCCTTCGAGAAGGGTCAGGACACTCTAATAAGGCAGGCCCAAAGCAATTGAAGAATACTCTGTCTTCCCATGGTAGAGGAAAAATAGCTTTTGCTGAACTAAGAACGCCCCCAGCTTCGTTGAGGAAAAAACCTCCATATTCCAGTCTAGGTTAGAGCCCAAGGCCAGGTAATGTTCCGGAACAAGGTCTTGGATAGTTTTTTGAATTCCCCCCACCCCCCCCCAATTACAGTTTTCGGAGAACTGGCAACTAAGAGAGTTGCAGAAAATCTCCTCAGGAATGGCCTCTGGTGATCTGTTTAGTGCAGTTCCTGACTGGGAATAGCAGTTTTCATGTACTATACCAAAAATTAAATGATCTGAAGATTAAACATTGAGAATGCCAAGCCACGTTAGGAATCTCCTGGCCATTTCTGGTTTCACTGTGCATTAGGACCTGGACCCTGACTTCCGGTTCTGCCCCTCAGGTGATAGCCCGCCCTAGGAAAAAAAAAAGGCTGCATCCGAGAACACTGGTGACAGTGTGAGTGGAAACGTGGACTTCGCTGCTGAGGCGGACCAGGAGAAAAGTAGGGAGACCTCAAAAGGGACAAAAAGTAGAGGTGAGAAGTACAATGCGCTCAAGTATGTCTTGATTGATACTGGTATCTAACCCCTCTCCAAAATGGGATTTGAGGTGGTCTGTGGAAGTACGGGGTGCAGGGGAGGGGGCGGGTGTGGGGTGGCCAGGATATTTCCGAGTCGGGTAATATTTCTCCTAGTTTGAGGCCTTTTTTCTTAATATAGAAAAAGGAAAGAAAGAAAAACAAAAGGATAGAAAAAGGAAAGGAGCAGATTTTCGGTTGCAGTTGTCATATATTGAAGAGGCAGCAATTTGTGAAAGGACAGAAAATTTAGCAGAAGAAGGACAGATTTTTAGATGTTGCCAGCAGCACAAAAGAAAAAAAGGAGAAAAAAGTAACAGGCAGAACAATACATTACTTGTTTATGGCATCTGTTACTGTAGAATCAAGACTTGATTAGGTAGGTGGAGTTCCAGTATAGGTGAATCTGATAAAGTCGTAAGAAAAAAATATCATATAGCCTCATGAATATATTGTCATCAGGATTAAATTAATTTTGCATTAGAATTTCTAACAGGAATGATAAGTGGCCATTCCACTCAGAGCTTCAAAAATGACAAACTTTGGATGATAATATGTAGCCACCAGAGGGTAGAAAGGAGTAAAAATATTGTTTTTCTTTGTGTGGATAGTCAGTGTTTTCTTGAAGTTGATTTTTTAATTTTTTTAATCTCAACATCTTGATAGTTACAGTTTTAGTCTATTGGAAGTAATTTCAGCATAGCATACCACTTAATGATTTTAATTTTTTTAGTACTTTTTTTCTTTAAATCTCTGAGTTCTTCCCTAATTTTTAAAATATTTTATGTTATCTTTTGTGTGTATGTGTCTATGTGCTGATGGTGGGAGGTGGGGAAGTTAAATTTAGAGATTATAAAACCAAGCACTATTTGTCATATCTCATGTATTAAAAACAAAACACAAGAAAGAAAAAAGAAAAAAAAATCCACCAACAAAAAGCAACTCTTTGTCACTAAAACATCCTCGATCCATTGTTTTCTCACCATTTTCACTGCTACCAACCATCTTACTTTAGGTTCCTATCACCGCAACTGGACCACTGCAACAGCCTTTGAACTAGTCAGCTTGTTTCACTCTAGCCCCTCTTTAAGTTTGTTGTACAAGCAACCAGATCTTTTCAAAATGTGTGTTAGATTATGTCATCTGTTTAAAACCCCAAAGGCTTTCCACTACTTACAAATAAAATCAATATTCCTTATTCTGACCTATAACCCAAAAATCCATTGCTGTTGAGTTGATTCCGACTCATGGCGACCCTATAGGACAGAGTAGGGTTTCCAAGGCTGTAAATCTTTACAGAAGCAGACTGCCATATCTTTCTCCCATGGAACAGCTAGTGGGTTCAAATCGCTGACCTTTTGGATAACAGCCGAATGCTTTAACCATTGCACCACCAGAGCTCCTTCCTCTGCCCTATGTTGTTAGTCGGCTCCGACTCATAGTGGCCCTATATACGACAGAACAAAACCCTGCCTGGTTCTGCTCCATCCTCACAATTCTTGCTATTCTTGAGCCCATCCATCATTGCAGCCACTGTATCAATCCATCTTGTTGAGAATCTACCCCTTTTTCACTGACCCTTTACTTTACCTTGGGAGCTCTGGTGGGATAGTGCCTAAAGCATTTGACTGCTAACCAGAAGGCTGGTGGTTGAAACCCACCAGCCACTCCTGAGAAGGAAGGTTGGGCAATCTACTTCCGTAGTGATACTGCCTTGGAAACCCAAGGAGGGGTTGCAATGAGTCGGATCCGACTCCATGACAGTGAGTTTGGTTTTGGTTTTTTTATTTTACCAAGCATGATATCCATCTCCAGGGACTGGTCCATCCGACAACATGACCAAAGTGGGTGAGACAAAGTCTGGCCATTCTCATTTCTAAGGAGCATTTCATTTCCGGCTGCCCTTCTTCCAGGACAGGTGTGTTTGTTCTGCTGGCCGTCCATGGTATTTTCAGTATCCTTTGCCAGCACCGCAGTTCAAAGTCATCAGCTCTTTTTCAGTCTTCCTTATTCATTGTCCACCTTTCACATGCATATGTGATTATTGAAAAATGACCATGGCTTGGGTCAGGTGCACCTTAGTCTTCAAAGTGATGTCTTTGCTTCTTAACACTATAAAGAGGTCTTTTGCAGCAGACCTATAGCCCTCTGACTTACAGAACCCTTCAGGTTCTGATCCCACCTTCCCCTCTGTCCTGGTTTCCAACATGCTCTGCCTGGCCCAGTTTCATCTCCACACTGGAGGGCTTTGGAATTAACAGTTACCTCAGTTACCTCTGCTTATTGATCTTATTTTTCTTCTAGTAGTTGGCCTCTACTTACTCAGATTTCAACCTAACTGTCCCCATTTC